TTTAATGTAAAGTCTCCAAGACGATTTCCATCCAAAGTTCTCCCAAGGAATGGAAGACTACAAATTCATAAAAATTGAGAGTCAAAACTCAAACTCCGGCGTCTTCCACCTCCAGCATCCATCGCACCACAACGCCCTCACAAGCTAGTTCGAAATTAGATAAAAAAAAAAAAAAAAAATCAGCTAAGGACAACCACGTAAGTGATCTTACTATCGACATAGTCATAGTTGATGTTGTGTGTTGACATGTTCCTCGTGGTCCTGTACATGTCATATATTTGATACTTGTGAATTTTTTATAAAACAATATGACTATGATATGATATGCATATGTTATGATATGTGAATGGTATGATAAGTCTTTCGGTATGATGTGTTCAATGATATGTTTGAGATAGGATACGAGAAGGATGCGATAAATGTAATGTAACGATTGTATTATATGATTGTTATGATATGTTATGGTGTGATATGTGGAAGGCAGACACGGGTTGTGTTATATGATTGTTGTAATATATGATACGATATAATATGTACATGATGAGAATTGTTATGTCTAGAAGCATGAAAACGTTATGATATGACATATGTATGTAATATGAATGATATGATATGACTGACAAGCAAAACGACGAACGTGCATGAAATACAACCACGATATACACATGAAAGATATGACAAAATGATATGATATGAAAGAAGACGTTAGAAGGATTATATTAAATGATGATGAAAATGGAAAAATGTTGTGACCTCATGCATTATTGTGTGCTCATGCATTGGGAAATATCTCTTATCCTTAACGATAGTACGAATGCGTACGCTACGAGACAGGAGAACTATCATTATGTTTATCATAAGGTTGTCGTGACGGTCACTATTCCTAACGGGTGTCCGGCATCCAGAACTACCAAAGAATGCTCTCCCGACTAGAAAGGGGCCCAAGAGGTGTGTGAACCGACTGGTGGGTCCATACTCACACGTGTGAATCGTGTGTAGGGAAATTAAGTACACATCCAATTGCTCATTAGGATAGTCACCATAGGAAATAGACTGTTATGATAGGTCTCATTCATGAAATTGTATGGGTTTGCATTTAACTCAATAGGAGGGTTGCTTACTAAGTATTTCTTAAAATACTCCAGCCACGTGCTACTCTTATTTTCTAGGTAAAGGCAAAGGCATCCTTAAACGGCTAACGGCGACATCACAAGTCGAGGTCATGACACATGAATAGAGTAGTTGTATTTAATTTCTTAGACTTGAGTTAGAATAGAGTATTTTTAATTTTAATGTTTATTTATTTCGTTTTGTCGTTTTAAAGATGTTTTTGAACACATAAGTTCATAACAGTATTTTAAGAGTTTATGTTTCATGAATAAGTTTAAACGCTTATTTCTGTACATAAATGATTACGTTTTAATAAGGACTAAATTGTAAAATAATTGAAAACACCTAAACTAAATCGTTACTAGAATCTTCGGGCATTAAATTATGAGATTGAAAAAAAATAATAATTATAAGACTTAGGTTTGAAGTTCACTAGTGACGGCAATGGGACCAAGCTATAATATTTAGGACATATGGTTCATGACATATATGTTATTAACTCTAAAAATCTATACCCTTATTACTTTTTTGCCCCTCCAAATTTGGGACATAAATATCACTTATCAATGCTCAATTATGGCATACAAATGTAACACATGTATACTTCATGAAATTTAACGACCATTGAGGGTATTGGAGTAATATGGACTCGTAGCTACTTGTATGATTCCTCCTTGACAATTAAATATATTAGTACGAGGAGAATATATTTGCTTGGTATATCATTTACATTCCTCGACTTGATTTTAAAATCTTTATTATTGTAAAAAAACAATGTTTATGTTAATGTTATGTCTTTAAGACTTTTGTGTTGTGTCACTTATTTTGTTGTAAATTCCTTGTTGTATGATACATGATACTTTTATAATGTTATGTCACGTATATTATGTTAGGATGCGTACCTTACAGTACTATGTATACTACGACATTATGCGTGCTCCTCTCCCTATACATTTTTCCAGTGACATGAGTGTATGCTAGCTAAGGCCAGGTTCAAGGGTATGTATACGAGCCTGCTTGGGAGTTCATGTGCGTGTGTGTCTGTCGCGTGTAGAGGAGTATTACACATCTAATTTGGCTGGCCTGGAAGGTGAGACTAAGGCCATAATAATGATGAAATGATAGGTCTCAAACATGATCGTATATGGTTGCATTTACTAACCCCACTTAATTGAGTACTTCTTAAAAATTCTAATGTATGCAGAGGTTTCCACGTCCTCGCTGGCACACCACTCAATATCTAACTCTAATACTATTTGTAACTGTCTAAGCTCACCCTTAGCAAATATTGTCATTTTTTAGTATCCCTCAAGGTTTTAAAGTGTATCTTGTAGGAAGAGGTTTCCGCGTCCTTGTAAGAAAATGTTTCGTTCTCATCTTCAATCAATATGAAATCTTAGATATTGATAGCTCAATTTGTTCAATCAAATTCATCCCTTTTTGAATAATTTGTTTAAACTTGGATTCACCTTTTTGATCTCTTCAGTTGAACACGTGAAATTTGAATTTTTCAGAAATTGTTGAACATGTATAATATTATTGTTTTTATTATGATATTTTATAATATTTTCGAGAATGATCCTTTAGAAGTCTTTTAAAAAAGAATTTCTATTAGAACGTGGAACAAATTTTAAAAATAAAAAATATAAACAAATACTAGAGAATCCAATCTTCTTAGATCTTTTATGTGGGGAATTTCCGCTCAATCTCTATGAAAATGAAAATTTTATTTTGCAAAAACGAGAATTGAAATAAGTGATTGAATGGATATGGAAAAATCTATCCATTCCTATTGGATACCTCAGAATGTTTGCTTAATTACTATACATATATGGTGTGCAAATTATCTTATTTATAATCAAACAAATTACAATAACACGAAAATAACAATAAATGGAAAGATACTTATGTTAAAGAGGCGAATATGATATATATGGTAAACGATAATTTATTACTAAATATCCTTAACCATGTTAATGTAAACATTTAAAAAAAAAATACCAAAAATCAGAAACAAAATTGTTATAAAAGGAAGAAATGATAGGTTTGATCAAATGATATAAAAATTATAGAAAGTACGTCATATACAAATTAGCTTACGATCAAACTCTTGAGACAGAATAAATTCTTTAACCCGAGATTCAAACACGACTCGAGCATAATGAAGTGATTGATATAAAAAATATGATTTTTGATGTGTTTAAGGAAAATAAATAAAAATAGGTAGATGAGTGAGATAATGAGAGAAAGTAGGGACAACAAGATCTTAGAGAGAAATCTTCCAAGATCTCCCATTTCTCAACCTACTCATCACTTCCATCTTCATCAATTTCCTTCATCTTTGGGCCACCTACCCCCTATACAACCCCCCCTATAACCCTCCCTATACCCTATACTTTATCGTCCACTTCTCTCGAGGCCATTCTCCCAGGTCGATTTTACTCATTTAGAAAGAATTACACGATATTTGTAACAGTACGTCTATACTGTCTAAATTGGTTCACTTATAAAATTTAAATTCATACGATTAATTTTTTAAAAAAAGAAGATAGAGTGACAAAAAGTACAAATTATAATGTCGACGGTGTGTGTGGGTTTATTGCTATGTAATAAATAAACGGAATGCCGACAGTTGGGAGAGTGTCGGTTCGAACTTGGCAGCCACTCTCATTAACAACACACTCCAATTTGTTATCTTCACATATTCTATTCAATCATTATTAAAAATCTCAACTTTTTTTTTTATTTTTTTTTATTTTTCTAAATTAAATATATTATTATACATTCCTCAAATTTCAATTTATCATATATATATATATATTTAAAGTCTGAATTTATTTTAGAGAAATTAATAATAAAGAAAATAAATAGAGGGGCTGAAAAAAATATGGATCGTACAAAATGGCTATGTCCAATGGCATCCACCTCCACTACTTCTGGTCTGCTCTTTCAGACAAACCAAGTGGATCCTTACAACTCGACCAAAAAAAAAAAAAAAAAAAATATTTTTCGTTGTTTAAATTTTAAAATAATTAAAAATAAACTAAGTGGACCAAATTTATTCTAATTTTTTTAAATGTTTAAATTTGTCGTTGAAAATGGAATTTAAAGTTAAAATGGGAATTTATGATTTGAAAAAATAAATAGAAAATTTTATTTAAACCTTTTATTTTAACATAAAAAGGAAGAACATAGTCATTATATATAATATATATATATATCAACATTATATAAAAACATATTTTAAAATCTAAATTTATATTTATTTTATACCTAAGTCGTACTTCAAGTCTTAAAATATTATTCACAAGTTGATAAAAGACTAATAGAATAATGATACGAAGATTAAATTCAAAATTTGGTAGAAGTCAGGACTAAAAATGTTCTAGAAGAAGAATGTAGTCGAAATCTTCTTTTGTTTATTTTTTAATCAATCTTAGTTTTTATAGTCAGATTTTGATGAGGATGATCAAATCGTGTTGGTGGGATTAATGTTCCTAAGAGGAAAACCACTTACCCTAATTTGAATAATAAAATGAACACTAAAGTGGAGATGATATGTTGGATTTTTTGTATGATACTACCAAATTGCACATGGTGGATAAGAACCAAGTTTAGGTAGCTGCATGTTGCTTTTATATTTAAGGTGTGTATACATAATATCACCCGGATTTGAAAGCAACTTTTAGATTCTCGTATTAAAACATAACATACAATCTAATTCAAAAATAAAGTTATACCCAACAATTATGTAACTGTCTTCTTTTTTGACTTTCACTCGAGGTTTTAAAATGCGGATATGCTAGGAAGAAATTTTCGAATTGGAATGTTTGGTTCGTGAGAGTATCAGGAAGGTTTTCACACCCTCTCTTTATTAAGGAAGTGACCATTTCTCCATCTTATTTAAACCCAAATCCCCTCTCTGTTTCGTCTGTCTCTTCGACCCATTTCCCCTCTTTGAGCTGCCGTCTTTCACCCACCCATTAAGGCACAACAATGTCAGCTTACAAAGACGAGGATCCTCGCATCCATGGCATCAGGACTAAGATTCGTGTTGTGCCTAATTTCCCTCAACCAGGTTTGCCCATCTTCATATTTCTTTAAAACCCTTACTCTGTTTTCTGAAACTCCATGGATTTACTGCATGTGTCGGCCAATTGAAGTTATTTGTCAAATGGATTCTGGGTTTTGTTCTTTTTAAGGATGGAAGATTTGGGATGTCTTTTTTTTTTTCCTAACCCTTTTTTTTTTTTTTTTTGTTTTAATGGGTTTTGTCCCCTGTTGATGGCTGTATTTCCAGGTATCATGTTCCAAGACATAACCACTCTGCTACTCGACCCCAAAGCATTCAAAGATACTATTGATTTGTTCGTCGAGCGATTCAAAGGGAAGAACATTTCAGTTGTTGCAGGTGAAAAGGAAATAAAAGAAATATTCTTTATTTACTTTTTCCTTTTCCATTTTTGAGTAAAGATTAATGTATTCTTGCTTTGATGACGATGATCCATTTTTTGATTGCTCTGAAGATGGCGGGGTCCATTTTTTTTTTCAAGAAAAGTAGCTTTAAATGATGCAAAAACGCCCTCATTGCATGAATTTCTGGTTGTTTTGCTTTTGGTACATATTAATCATTGATGAATGGAAGTGACTGTGGGTCTCGGGAGTGATTCTTTGTTTGACTATGAGCTTTGTTAGTGGGCTGTGCAATGAATGCTGGCTATGGCCATTGGTTTTTTACCTCATCAGCTAATATTGGCTCTCTCTAATGTTGGTTGGCAGGAATTGAAGCTCGAGGTTTCATATTTGGCCCTCCGATTGCTTTGGCTATTGGAGCAAAATTTGTTCCTTTAAGGAAACCGAGGAAGCTACCTGGTAATCATGTATACCTGTTATTGCTGCATTCGCTTAATTAAGTGTTCTTTTCCTCCCTCTGGCACAGACATGTCTATGATCTAGAGAACTCTTCCCCCTTAGAGTTCTGTTTTTGTAATATGTAACACATACATGAGATGATCTTCACACTCCATTTCTTGTGTTCATGTGATTTAAATGCATACTGATTCTTTCACGAGCATTAAGTTATGTAACGGTCCAAGTCCATCGCTAGTAGATATTGTTCTTTTTGAGTTTTCCCTTTCGGGATTTCCCCTCAATGTTTTTAAAATGCGTCTGCTAGGGAGGAGTTTTCACGCCCTTATAAAGAATGTTTTGTTCTCCTCCTCAACCAATGTGAGATCTCGGATCTCATAATCCACCCTTCTTTAGGGTCCAACGTTCTCACTGGCACACCGCTGAGTATTTAGCTCTGATAACAAATATAAAGGCCCAAGCCCACCGCTAGTAGATATTATCTTTGTTGAGCTTTTCCTTTTAGGCTTCTCCTCAAGATTTTTAAAACATGTTTGCTACAGAGAGGTTTCCACACTCTTATAAAGAATGTTTTGTTCTCCTCTCCAACCGATTTGGGATCTCACGATCCACCCACTTCACGGCTCAACATCCTCACTAGCACTCGTTTTTCTCTCCAATCGATGTGGATCTCACAATCCATCCCCTTCAAGGCCCAGTGTTCTCGTTGGCATACTGTTCGGCGTTTGGCTCCGATGGCAACTATAACGGCCCAAGCCCACCGCTAGCGCATATTGTCCTCTTGGGGCTTTCCCTTTTGGGCTTCCGCTCAAGGTTCTTAAAACGCGTCTGCTATAGAGAGATTTTCACACACTCCCAACCGACATGGGATCTCACAAGTTTCCACTTGGCTTAACCTTTTTCTTCCTCCAAGTTTCTCCTTATGCCATCAAGAGTACATTGAATTAATTAATTCCTGTACCTTCCATATTCCACTTAGAAGATAAATTACCAGATTCTTATGGAGTACATTGAATTAAAATTAGAAGTAGGATTTCTGCTCTGGAATACATGCTTGCAGCATTAGTTGATTCATCTTAAATGCTAGATAATTTTTTCCTTGTGTATCAATAATGAATTTCATTCAACTATTTCCATATCAGGAGAAGTTATTTCTGAAAAATACACATTAGAATATGGAAGTGATTGCCTGGAGATGCACGTTGGAGCTGTCAAACCACACGAACGGGCCTTAGTGGTGGACGACTTGATTGCCACAGGCGGCACCCTTTGTGCAGCCATGAGTTTACTTGGTGAGTGATATTGTCATACAAGCGACGTACGTATTTTTGTATTTTATCCACTAAACTATACTTAGATTGATATATCCGTCGAAGACTATCATTTTGGGTTCAGATTAGATGCCTTTGTTTTGTTTGACATGAAGTCCTTGTGCCATCTAATGTCTAAGCCCCATTGAACCCTGAAGCTTTAGTAAAAAGACAGTGCATAAACAGAGATTCTGTACTTGCTGCAGAATTTGTCTGTTTCAGAAAACAAACCAAATAATTGATGTTATAGTTCAAATCAGCTGACTCTAGTAAGCTTATAAGATGAAACCTGGACATGAAACCAAATGGTTCATCGCTTTTAAGGAATTTCAGAACCTAAACTGCTCATTCTGTTGTCTGGTGATCTATGTCAGAAAAATAAACATGTTTTTGTAATCTAAATGATTTGTTTTTCAGAACGTGTTGGAGCTGAAGTAATTGAATGTGCTTGCGTCATTGAATTGCCAGATTTAAAGGTGTGCTTGATTCTTCAAACTCCTCTTTTTTATGGCTAATAAGTTCAAAGTAGGTGCAATAGTTAGTCAGATTTCAACGTTCTTCTGTCTGTCGGATTAGACAAATCACGCCATTAGATTTATGACATTGATAGAGAAATGTCGGACTTCCTAGATAGTCACGTAGGATTAGGACAAACACGTCATTAAATTTCTGTTTGAAATGACTTTTCAAGTGCTTAAATATCCTATTTTTAACACTTTGAAAACTCGTTTTAAGCACTTGAATAGCCATTCCAGTATGGCTAGGTGAATTGAACCAAATTTACTACTGGGTCGATAAGATTCAAGAGTTATCTGAATGATCGTATATGAACTGTTGTGTTGATGATGCAGGGTCGGGAGCGGTTGAACGGGAAGCCATTGTTCGTGCTAGTAGAGTACCATTAACTCGAGCCAATGTGAGAAAAAAAAACCATCATCCCTTTCAACCTCTACCCCACACACAAGAAAGAAAGGAAAAGACAGGAGAATCTGTTGAAATGCCATTTTCACTGACCAATGATTTGGTAGTGAGTTTGGGTAGGAGCCGTAAAATTGTATCTTGTACACCATTCAATAGTGAAACGGGGTATTCTGATAGATATGCTTGTAGCTGAACACTGTGCCCTGTTTTTCTAGTTGAAAACAAACTTAATTACAATATTTTGAATTAGAAAGTGTTTCATTCAATCAACATAACGTCGAGTTGAGGTTTGATCGAGAACGAACAAAGGGATGAAACTAATTGGGTTGCTTTAATGCTAAGAACTTTGGTTGAAAGAAAGCATTCAAGCATGGATGTGGAATGTGAAGCTGAAGATTATATGTTGTTTTAGTTTGATCACTTTTGGCAGCTTTGTTTAAAAAAGACAGTGAAATGGCAACATCTGTTTTAGTTAATATGTTCATTTTGTGTCAAAGGAAAGGAAAGGAAAGCAATGTTTGGGCATTATCAGCGTGACTTGCGCTACACCTAACACTCCAATTTGGAATTTGGATTTCTAAGATCATCACAAACACCCTATCAACAAAGTCCCTATCTCCATCTCCATTGCTAGTCGCTACCCAACAATGAAATTAGTTGTTAGTTATTTTGTCGTAATTTGACTATAGTAGAAATGTTTTCAACCGTAGAGAAAAACAAAGTTGTACATAAAACACATTGTTTTATGAAAATGTAACCAACGGGAGAAAATATTTGCTAACACTGGGCTTGGACTATTACAAATCGTATCAGAGCCAAACACCGACCAATGTGTCAGTGAGGAGGCGTAACCTCGAAGGGGTGGATTGAGAGGTCCCACAACCTTAAAAGAGGTGGATGGTGAAATATTATATCTTAAGTCTGGATGGAAAAGCCTAAATAAGACAACATCCCGTACTGATTTTACTTATTATTAAAACCTATAAATATAGCAATGATATATAACCTTAAAGTTATGAAATTGGAATATAATTTACCAAATTGATTTGGACAAAAATCTTTCCCTTTTGCCAAACACTTCAATTTCTCACCAAATTTTAAGGAATAAATGCCATAGAATTTGCATTAAAATAAATATATTATAAATACACCAAAATAATTAACATTTAATAATAACAAAACAAGAACCGTAAATATTGGTTAATTAGCATTTATCAACACAATTTTTACATAACCAAACATCAAACTGACGAATTTAAAAGAAAAAAAAGACCCAAAAATGGAGAAAAATTGTGTGGATAAATGCTACATAATCAAAGATGAAATTCAAAATATTACCATTTCATCTAAAAAAAAACCCCAAAATATTAAAAAAAAAATTATAATAATGTTTTTGCATTTTAAAAAAAAATATTTTTTTTTTACAATTTGTAAATGATGAGGAAACAAGGGAGAACCGCACGCGAGTCGAACACCAATAACTCGCCGTTATCCCCACTCACCGAGTCGACTCCAACTCCGTCTTCCATAAACGGGTCGGGTTTCATCACTTGTTTTGACACCCGACCGGCGATTACCCGACATACCAACATCGCCCTTCTCCCTCTCCCTCCCCCACCGTTCTCGTGGGCCACTCCGCTTCCGGCGAAAGTACAAATTGCTGCTACTGACGACGATCCTTTCACTCCAGGGAAGCTCCACGCGCCGCCGTATCCATCGTATTTTGCGCAGTCGGATGTCGGACCCATGCAATGAAACCTCATTACCTCGTTCCCATCAGCGACGCAACGGGCATTCTCCTCGTCGGCGGGACATCCCATCGCCGCTTTATCTTTGACCATTTCGCGATACTCTTCAAACCGAGCCACCGTCTTAGACCCATTCTGGACCTTAAAAATCATCTCGATCCGACCCGTAAACGCCTTGGGGCTCCAGCTTGTGTGGAAGATTATCTCGACCACGCTCCGGGAATGGTGCCCCTCCGGCAACTCCGAAAGCGCCGGAAAGATAAGATCGTCGGCCCTAATTATCGGACGAGACGAAACGCTCGTTCTCGGCCGGATGCAGGGACTCAAACCGGGTTCCGATTTCGAGAATCTGGGGTTTTTGGGAGCCGGTTTTTTCTCCAGCGGCGAGTGATTGGGGTTCTTTTTCTTGGATTTGGTGGTTTCGACGACGTCTTTGAGGCTCTGAACACTCTTCCGACAACTGGCGCTGGGGATTAGATTTTTAGGGGTTGGATGATAAACGTCTTGGAAGGCTCTGGATTTGCAGTGAAGTGATTTGACCCACGCCATTAATGGAGCTCAATGAAACACCGCCGTCGTCGTTGTCGGAGATTCGCCCAATTTTTTTCTCTGGAAAAAGAAAAAGGGTCAAGTTGGGTATTGGGTCTGTCTCATTCTCCGTCGCTGTGCGTAAAAGAAGTGGAAACGGAAGGAACACTCGCAGGCGCCATAATAAATGGAGCCATTTATTCACTACCCGTCTACACCCATCTCCGAATGACTAAATTGCCCCTATCTCAATTTTTCTTTTTTATGAACCCGACTCACTCTCGACAATATTATTTATTTTGACCCTAATCTTTTATTGCTTTTCTTTGAGTTTCCCGAAAATGCCTCATAATATGTAGAGAGCATTATTTGATTATAAACTTATAATCATTTTTTAAATTAGCCACTTTCAAAAAATTTGGATTTAATTTATTAATTAATTTATTTTCAAATTCAATAACTACTCGAATTTGTATCTTTAATTTTTTTAATTTTGATTTTTTAAATTTGTTGAGTTAAGTTGAAGTTTACTTAAATCTTTAAAATTTATTCCGTCGTCCCATTAAAAAAAATAAATAAATAAACAACGAAGTATAATTATATATAAAATTTCAATAATTTTTGTTCATAAAATTTAAATATTTTAATTTCTTATTAGATATAAAATTGAAAGTGTATAGAGATATTACAAAAATATATCAACTAAAATTTAATCTTTATTATTTTATTAACTTAGGGTTAAATATTATATAATATGTTTAGAACTTCCAAATTTAAGAGAGAGTTCAAATTTAAATTTACATCAAATATATGAATTAATCAAATAATATACAAAATTAAAGTGTATATTTATTTATTTATTATTGTTTTGGTGATGGTCTTATCTTTACCCACGTGGCAGAGGCTTTTGTGGTCCCCACTTTCTTTTTTTTTTTTTTTTTTTTTTTTTACCGTTGGATTCATTTGGATCCACATGATTAGGTATTGATGGTGATTAACGTTAGGCCCTAATCGCACTTGATTATAACTCTTAATCTTGAATTATTTTATTTTTAAAAAATTAAATTTACACCTTTTTAAAATTTATGTATAATAAATTTGAGAAATTTAAAACATTTAAAAGCCTAAAAGTTAAAATTTTAATTTTGATGAATTAAAAAATTAAAACTGATCTTATTTTTAATTTATAATTATACGTTTTGTTTTGAAAGTGCAAACTAATTAATTTTATTTTCTCTTCCCCTTTCTCTCGTCTATTCAATAATATTTAATTTCCATCAATTTCTTTCTCTTCAGTTAACAAAATTGACAATAAATACATATATTTTTTTAATATATTCATAATTAATTTTGTTGTTTTTATTTTGATGTCTATTTTCTCAACTAGAAAAATCTTTTGGGATGTGACACATCAAAAGAATTATTTTTTATAATAAAAAATTTAAATCAGGTCCAGCCAATATCATTGGCCAAAAAAAGACTTGATTTTTTAAATATATATTTGGATTTTATTTATTTAGTCATGATATTGTCGGGGCTGGTTTTAATTTAAAAAAAAAAAAGAAAAAGATTTTTATGGGATGGGATGGGATTAAATGTATGCATGGATGTTGGAATTTGAGCTATTAGACAGAGAATTGAATTTGAAACAAAATTGGTGAACTGAGTTTGTGTAGACTAACACTTTAATTTCGCATTTATGTCTCAAACCCCACTTCCCACTTCCACTTCTTTTTCAATTATAACTTTAACCACCTACTTCTTTCTTACTTTAAATAATTACCATAAAAATTATTTTATCATTTTACCTCCCTAACTAACTCATACATGCTTCGTCGATTTAGGTTTAAATTACGATGCTGGTAAGAATAGAAAACACGTAGTGATGGATGCAATAAACTAGTTGTAGGCAGCCTTGTCAGTCCCTTCGAGGATCTTATGATGTTGGAGATGAAAAGGATCAGAGATTTTGTCAATGATGATTATAAAGTAGTACACTCACTTACTTCAACGAATGTAAGATAAAGTCAACTTGGCGACAACAAACAAATATTTATAACTAATTTGAAAATACTATGTATAATAGAATTTTGATTTACTTAAGCTAATTACTATGCTTTCTGTATGCATTACGAGACTATAGGAATATGTTACTATGTAGAAAATAGTGAAGAGTTTGCTAGCTTATCCTTATAACAGTGAATTGTCAAGACGGGCCCTCTTAGTACTCTATTGACATTTTATATGAATGATATGATACAGGAATGATTAGAGATTTGCTAGTTTATCCATAATCATGAATAGTGAAGACCAGACCCACGTTGGTATTAGATGATGAGTTGATAGATGAGCACCAAAGAGCTAGATTACGAGAATCAATGAACTCCAAGGAATACCGACAGGCTAGATTAAGAAGAGTGAAGAGTGAGGGTATTTTCGTCCTTTAGGAATCTAGGGAACGGGAGGGGAGAGAAAAGAATAGAATAGAAGCTTTGTAGAGAGAGAGAGAGAGAGAAGCACTGAAATTTAAACTATGAGTCTTAGGAGGGAAATTAATTAAATTCATATTAGGTTATTATTATTGGCATAGGCTTAGGGTGTGGGATTTACAAAGCTCAAATTTAATATAATAACCTACAAATTAATTGCATCAAAATAAAATAAAAGTGAAGGAGGAGAGATTCAAACCTTCGACACCGTAATTGGTATCTACGTGTTCTAATCTTATAAGCTATAAGTCTCAGTTTGTTTCCATCTGGTTGTAGGGTACCTGTGAATGTTTGATTAATTCACCACACCTAAATGGTGTGAAAGTTATCTTATTTATAATCAAATAAATTACAAGGATATGAAAATAGTAATAAATGGAAATAACAATAAATGGAAAGATACCTATGATAATAAAACAAATATTAGATATTTGCCTTATAATAAAATATCAAATATAATATATATGGTAAACTATAATTTATTACTAAATATCCTTAACAGTACCCTAAAATAAGAACCCATTTTCGAGTTAAGAAGATGTGAAAATGCTTCAAATCCTAATCCAGCAAACCATCGTCGTAAATTCAAATCAAAACCCATTTTCAAATAGAAAATCTTAATCTCGAACATCATCGTTATAAATAT